ACTGTATTTAATATGCTACTCCATAGCTAATATTGGCAGCAGCACAAGCTCTGGGTTATGGAACCCCAGATTGATGCGGAACTAAGTTAAGAAAATTGTTTCATTGTTCTCAGCATTTCACACAAAGGAGCAACAACAATTGTATCAAGTAACAGAAGTTCCATGAAATTGGAAAGAGTGGTTGTTGTACAGCTCCTAGAAGATAAAATAATATTGGTGCTGTAAGGTAGAGAAAAACCCACGTCTATGGTTAACTGAGACTTGACAGAAAACCCAGCATAGGATATCATCGATTGACCTCAACTTATAGGTATACAACAGCGCCGGACCAGTAAAGTGAAAGAAAAAAAAAACACAAACAGTTGTCATCAAAACAGTGACAAATACAAGGATCACGTTGAAACAGCTTCAATGTTAAAACACCAAAGAGACAAACAAGATTTAACCTTAGTTTCATTTACTTTTCAGAAAGTAATAACATTTTTTATTCCATTTGATGCCTACAGGTTCAAATTTCAAGATATGGCATTTGTGAACAAAAAAGACCATAATAAGACTCCACATGATCCCACAATATAACCTGAACAAGACTACAGGACAAAGTGGCTTAATATTTTTGGCGCCGTTTGAAATCTTACAGGTTAAGGTTTCAGAATCTGTTGAGATTGTGAACAGAAAAACATGAAAATGATATGGCCCACATTCAAACTCCTTATTGGTCTTCAATGATAATAGCAGCATTTTCCGCCATAAAAATGACATGCATACAAAGCCCTCATTTCTTACAATGTGCCAAGGTATCCAATTATATCTTGGTATTAAACTCGGGAAGAAAAAATCTTGGGTGGATGTGCATGGCAAATGTCACATGGAATACTTCCAAACCAATATAATGGGCAAATTTTTCTTTGTGAGCGCTTTATGGAGTATGTAATTTCCAATCTTCCAGATTTATAGTTTTGTGGCTTCCCCCTAGCATTCCGTCGAAGTCTTCTAGATCCAAAAACTCAAAAAATACTTTCTGGAGTTCCGGATCAACTAGAATGTCACTAAATCCGCGCACGAAATGGGTTAACTGAACTGATATGGAATCCACGAAGGTACTCTTAATAAGAAGGTCAATATAAAGCTCTCTGTTCCTGATATTTACATGGAGATCCTTCCCTCCTGAGCAAAGCTCAATAGTCCTTCGAGACCCTAATTCATGAACATCTCGGGAAAATGTTAGTTCAAGACCATCAACAACAGCAGCATCCATCTCTAAAATTCTTTTACAGCTTGCATACATGACAGGGTCTGCAGCAGAAATATCTTCCAATTTAATACTTCTCCCAGCAAGATGCAAGAATAATGTGCGGTCCAATGTGATCCCTACTTGAACTCTATGCATCAATGCTAATCCAATTATTCGTCCTGAAAATATGAAGTATTTCAGGTGCAGTGGATCCACAGCAGATGCTGCAACATACAATAAGCATAAAAAAATTAGAAGAGATTCAGACATTCAGTGAACATACTTGTAGACATCAGCTGTATCATGAATAATGAATATATAAGAATCAATTAAATATAATTAAGAAAAGTGAAAATGGCTCAAACAGCTACAGCTAGAATAAACTGCCAAGCTAAAAATTATGGTATTCTCATAGAACTTTTCAAGATAACATACTAATTGCATATTGTGCCAGCAAGGACTTATCCTCCTTTTTGCATGAAGCATGCCTCACTTTCAACCTAACAGTGTCACGTTACCTCTCTGGCCAAGCTTAGGCTTATCAAATAAGCCAGCTTTTATTTATCAGCTTGTAGACCAAAAGTTGGAAATTAGCATTTTCGTTAGCAGCATAAAATAGAAACTCATCTTAATATCTATGTACCTATTCCATTTGTCCCTTGTGCACATAAGAGACACATTGGGGAAGTCTATGGTTGTGCAGCTGTGTCACAGGCTCACTGCATTTCCCAGAGCTCCTTTAACAGTGTGACACAATTTCCAACAACTGCGGTGATACTTTTCATCTTGAAGGTTGTTCATCGGAACTTTCTGATCCAGTTGGCAAGGATGATATCCACAAAACTGTTAGCATAGCCTTGATATGTTGGACTGTTTGGAAAGTCTCAATGAGGAATGAGCATATATTGCAGCTGACCAACTAATGATTCACTATTTCTCATTCCATGCACGTTAAACTTCACTACAGACTTGCAATGGAAGGAAATCTACAAAGCAAAGTTTTCCACAGGTATGGTGAGTACCAACTTCCACATAGGTCTGGGCACCAACAGTCTACAGAGAAACAGCCATGACAATTCACACCACCAGAATGGGTGGTTCTCGATGCCCTGGCAGGAACTGCTCTGGTGTGTGGTTGGCTACTTATATAACTGGAGATTAGCAATGGTTGCTCAAACAAAATTTCTCCAGTCCACCAAAATTTGTGTGTATAATGTGCGGTGCCAATGACACATTGCATTCCAGATTACTAAGTGCCAGAACATACAAGTGGAAAACAGCTTGTCATAGCATCGTAGTATAAATTCGCAAATAAAAAGTGGCAGCATCTCATTAGTGCAGTATTGAACCAAGTTTTATCAAAAGAAAAAACAAAAAGAGGTGCTGAACCAAGTAGACAAGCAAAGGTAAGCCTTTACTAATACTAGGCCAACTTAAGTTCAAAAAGAAATACTAGCCAAGATATTTTGTTTTCTATTATACCATGCATGCCAATTACTGGATCCACCCTCAAGTCATCATTAGCTTATTCGATTCAGGATTTTTCTTTCAAGATGTATGATCATAGTGCCATAACATAAGAACAGGGTCTTAAGTGATAATTTAATACTGGGGATGAGGAAACTTACTTCCGTTCAAGAAGAACCTCTGTCGATCACTAGGACAAGGCGAGAAGAGAACTTGCTGCGGGCTGAAAAGAGCTTGACACACCATGCAGAACCATTCCCTCAGAACTCCAGGGCCTGTCGCTTCCTCATTCTTAAACTCCATAAATAGCCCACTGCGAAGCTCACTGGGTCTGGCCTGTATAATGTATTCAAAGGACTCGTCCAATAAGTGTTGCCGATCAATCAACATCTCATGAAGCTCCCCGTATTCATCCTTTCCCTCAGGTAGCATCATCAAGACTAAATTCCTTCTTGATTCAAAGCAAAGGAGGTCTTTATGCTTCACAAGCCAGTGGAGATGCTCATTCCTCTTGGAACAGCGCACGAGGGCATTGAGAGGATCTCTGTGTGCCAGCAACACAAGCCGTAGGTTATGTGCCAAATCCTCATAAATCATCGATATAAAATCTAGTTGTGTCAGCATGACCAGCATATGTGACCGGGCAACCCATCGAGATTGACTTATATTGACCCCTCTGTTCTCCGATGACAAGGACAGATCCATTTCCAACCTCTTCAAGCACTCATCCACCCTGTTCAATAAGTTCATTGACATTTCGTGCAACTTCCACACCCACGTGTCATTATGCCCACGCTCACTGTTATACAGATTCTTGGGCAATGGCCCCCCATTGGGAACCCAACGGAGTGCCTGCTGGCGCAGCACTTTAAAGAAATTTGAGAGGTCTTCAAGGTTTTTGGATGACACAGTCATATCCAGTGATGCAAGTTCGTCCATAACCACTCCCACTATTTCTTCAGCAAACGGAAGGACCTGCTCGATCAGCTTGGAAGGTGACTTGATGCAAGGGGGAAGCCCAGAAGGCAAGCTGAGCACTGTTGCAAGCATAGAACGGGATGATATATAGAGTTCATCCCTCTTGCCCACAGAAAAAGAGAGCAACCCGCAAAATTCAAGCAGCACCGGCGCCATGACCGGCAGCACGTCGGGTGGCAAGGCCGAAGGATCCATGGTGAGGAAGCATTTGATGGCGTTCTCCGCGTGATGGTGGGAGGCGGAGGAGGGATTAGCGGCGTAGAGGCGAACCAGCGCGAAGGGGGCGCCCGCCTGGCGGAAAATCTCGAGGTACTGCGCCGCGTGGTCCCCCGTGGGTTGGGCATCGAAGAGGGGGGAGTCGCGATCATGGCGCTGCCGCATGTTGGCTCGGTGCGCGCAGAGGATGAACTCCTTGACGAGCTCGTTGATGTTGGCGGCGGAGCTGGTGTGGGCGGGGTCGGACTTGGCGGCGGCGGCGGTGGAGGCGATGTAGGAAGCGAGCTGCCACGCGTCCGGGTAGGGGGTGGAGCGGAGGCGGGAGAGGAGGTGCAGCGTGGAGTCCGGCGGGAGGCGGAGGTCGGCGAGGGCGGTCTCCGGCGCGAGCTGCCTCCCGGCGTAGACGAGGCGGAGGTCGCGGCCGTACCCCCGGTCGGCGAGGTGCGCGAGCACGGCGCCCACGGTGTCCCCCCACGCCGCGTGCATCGACACGGTCCTCGAGTCGGTGGCCCGCACGAAGAAGTGGGCCCCGCAGGAGAAACCCCCCGCCGCGGAGGCGGAGGCGGACGCGGCGGCCGCCACAACCCCGAGGTATGACGAGGCCGAGGAGGATTCCGCCCCCACGGCGGCGGCGGCGGCGGCGGGGTCATCGGGGTGGCCCATCAGCACCTCTCGGGACACCGGGAGGAGGGCATGATCGGGCCCGTCGCGGCGGCGCTTGGAGGGTCGGCGGTGCTCGCAACCGAAGCCGTCGGCGTCGGACATGCTTAGATCGGGACCATCGCCGGGGCGGCGGGAGAATCGCGGCCGGAGTGAGAGGAGAGGGAGGGTTTAGGAGCGGAATTTGGGGGAAAACGAGGGGAAGGGGGACGAGGAGGTTGGGAGTGTGAAACAACCAAGGAGCTCACCTTGCCATTCTCTCCTTCGATTGCTTTTGCCGTTTTGTTTTTTTCTACCTTTTTTTTTTCTCTGGGGCGTTTTCTGCACGCTTTACCGCCGCGTGGGTTGGTTTGCCCCGCATCGCGTCGCGTCCAGCGGCGCCGTGTGTCGTCACCGGCTCACCGCCGCGCGCGCGCGAACCAGTCATCGGCTCGTTGCCCGCTGGATTCGTCGTGCTTTTTAATCCGTTGGCCCCTCACAGCATAGAGATTATTATTATTATCCTTCTGTAATCTAATCTGTGCTGGCATATACCATATACTCCCTGTTCCTAAATATAACTATTTATAGGTTTTAAGTATGGAAAAAGTACGAATTACCCTCCCGAACTATCACGGTCGTCCGAATTACCCCCTAAACCACAAAATCGGACATTCTTCACCCCCAACTATACAAACCAGATGAATTACCCCCCTCCCTCGACCCAATCCGCGGTAGTTTTGGTCTACGTGGCATACACGTGGCATCCCAGTCAGCATTTTTCTAATAAAAAAATGGTGGGACCTGCCTGTCATACTCTCCCACCTCTCTCTTCCCCACTTTCCTCTTAATCTCTCAATCTTTCCCTCTTCCTCTCAATCTCTCTCTGTATCAGATGTGGCCAGCGAGTTGGTGGCCGGCGCGGCGCACGGGGCGGCAACAGACGGTGGACGGCGGTTGCTGTCTCTGATAACCACGGCATGCGTTTGACGGTGGACAGTGGTGGTCTTCCCCTAAACACTTGGGCTATTATTCGCACCTTGTTTGGCATTCACATTTTGACATACCGGGCTTTCCTTTATTATCCCCCGACTAAATTCTGCGGGCNTAATTGCTTCTGGCGGGGGGGGGCCTCCTTCTATCCCTTTCATTTATTTTATTTCATACTCCCCTTCTCCTTATATTTGTGACATATTAGTGGGGGGTGGGGTGTGGTTTCTCAATTACCCTTCTTCGTCTTATCTGCGGTTTTATTTATGTGGAGTTTACCTATCTTTATACGTCTCTAATTATAATAACTTATTAATATACTATATTTACATATCATCTCTCTCTATTATCAAAAATATTCCTTTTGGTACATTCAATTTTACTTCTGTTACATCTCCCTTTTGCGCGCTCTACTGGGTATATATCTACAAACAGGGGCGCGNTCTTTTTCCTTTAACATTATAATTAATGTTTAGTCTCTTATACATTTCTTTCCTGCACATTATATATTATTCCTCTTGTATCTCTTCTCTTTCACATTCATCCCATATGATCAGTCAGGTCCTATTTACGCTACCCGGTTTACTAATAATTACCCATCTCTTC